GTTTTCCCAGTTCAGGTTATCTTTAGTCTGTTCGCTGTTTTCAGCTTGTGTTTTGTCTTACAATAAACCTCCTTCGCACCTCCACGAGTGCCTGCAGTCGGACCCTCCTTTATTTCCCCACACGGTTCACCCCACTCGCAGGGACAAGTCCTGTTGCTGAGGTTGGGTTCATCCTGTAATCTGTCATGAGCTACTTGCACTGTTTCAATGACTGGAGTGAAGAGAGATGTAACATCATATGAGAGGAAACATTGCTCCCACTGGAAATGTTGCAGTCAGATGAACTGAATCGTCTTTTTGGGATTTCCAGCCTGTTGTTGTTCACATTAAAGCAAATCTTAAGCCAAAGAGTTTTCACTTTGGTCAAATTTGTCTTTGTCACCTGTCCAATGAGTGCTGGTGCAAATGTTTACTAAAGTTTAGCATAAATCGATGACACTGTTATGTTGTGGTGGGTTTTTATACTGAGAGACGTTCTGGAGACAGTCTTGCAGATCACATATTTTATTATCTGGTAGTTAAAGCTTTGGATTGCACAGCTGTGGACTTCTCTATGTGAAGCACAATTCATGATTAAAAGTATATATTAGACAATTGAAAGCAGGAAATATTTGTGATTGATGGGAAGATGCTGTGGTTTAGACTCAGCACTCCCCGATTTGTTCTCCTCATCGTCCTTCCACATGGAAATGCTCTTTGACCTCCAGTCCTGTGTGAGAAACCTCCTGCCTACCTCACAGTCGTTACCGGGCTCAGCTCTGTCTGTCCCTCTGAGTTAACCCTTCACACCCTCAGGTTAGTGCTCAGATCCTTTTAATGACGAGTGTATCAAACCTATTATCGGCACACTAATGTTAAAAAGAAACTGTCAAAAAACACATTTTTTATTTTTTACATTTAGTGTTCCGAGTGTTACCACAGACGTATAATCTGCTGCACAAACTGTCTTAAGAAGGCCAATCTGATGGAGGCAATCCAGGTCAGCTGGGCGATGACCTCATATGCTCCACCCCGGACATGAAAGGAGAAAACAACAACCAGCGCTAGTCTGTCACAACACTGAATTCATGAAAATGAAACTAAAATTAAAGATTTTTCACACAATAAAAACTAAAAT